CCCCAAAACCCCAAAACCCCAAAACCCCAAAACCCCAACCGTTAAACCCTGGTTTGAAACTTAATTTAAGACCTAAAACCTATTTTCTTTTCTTCTTCCTAGAACTACTAGGCTTTCTATACTCCCATTTAAACCATCAAGGACTTACTGTTTGCTGTTGCTCCTATCCCTCTGAGTCATCATCTGGGTGCGGAAGTATTCAGGGATAGAACTGTTGCCAGGGCCTTCGTTAGAGAACTTCCTGGGCAAATCTGAAAATTGCATGCTGAGCCTCTTACTCTCTATCTTTTCCTTAGATTTCTTCCTATTCTTTGAAGACCTAAATGCCTTGAGTAACTTTCTCGAGATCGAAGATTTCATATGTAAGTTCTTATTCACAGCCATATTGGCTCTTGAAGACCCAGACTTGTTCTTAGATTGGTCCTTGAGTAGCTTGGATAGACTCATTCCTCTGGTAAGATTTATATGCCCCATAGCGTTCATCTGGTTCGACATATTAGCCATTTCAGTCTTTCATAAGAAATCATCCATTTTGAACCCTTCCGGTCTTTCCTTCTTCTTTCCTTTGCTGTTGCTCCTCTTTGACTCTAGGCATAAAGAAAGGCGTCTTACTGTGAAATGGTGACTTTTTAGAATTGATGTGCTTATCACTGACGATCATAGATGGCTTCAACTTGGTTAATTTCTTCTTTTGCTTCATATCTGGAGAAAAATTCAGCTCTAATTAATAACTCCTAATAATCACCTTTGTTCGACCGGTTGTTGCTTGGAAATACATATTTGTTCTGGGATAGTTGGCCTCCTGGCTGCGAATTCAAGGTAATAAATAAAGGATCTCTCTTATCCATTGTCTGAGTTGGATGAGCATTTCTTGTTGATAATTTAGTATCCAGTTCCTTAATCTTCTCCTTCAAATTTTGAACCTGTTTCTCTAATTTATCCTGGTTAGACTTGGATTCTGCCATTTCTTTATGATGGAGCTTCTCACTCTTCTCCTTAATCTCTTTAGTCTCTTCGAGAGATGACTTGAGAGCTTTGATGTCTCTGGCAGATACCTCTAAATTATGCTGTAATGAATCAATATGAAGCTAAATATTAATGTATCAGATTACTTTTAAGAAATTTTGGTGTCTCAGGTGCATCCTGACATCAGCTTCATACTTCTGAATGATTTCTTCGTACACTATTGGAGGGTCAATCGAGAACTAAATTTTATAAGAGGTAATCTACCTTCAAGTTTTGATCTCCTTGCACAGCGTTATTACCCGAAGGAGTGTCTTCACACTCTAGGACGAACTTCTTGGTGTTGTCTTTATGTCGTCCCAGACTTGGATTGTCAATAGAAGTGCTAATCTGGGAGTAGTCATTAAAGGTAGAAATATCTAGGTATTCCTTATCGAACCGGAACCTCTTATTCTCTAAAATTTTATTTTTAATCATCTGGATAAAATTTTGTTCAGGTGGCCTGGGACTCTTTTTCCTTTCCAAAATAGAAGTCAATTTCTGGTTATTTCTTTCTCTCCTTTGAGATGACGTCTTCATACTCCTCGTCCTTCATCATGAGTAGGATTTCAATGCTCTGCTTGATATAGGATATTATGAGTGCGGAGTCCATATCGTATAGCTCTAAGCATTCATTATTTTAATTGATCATCGTCGAATCCAGTTCCGGAATGATCATGGTTCACACTAAATAATTAGCTTTAGATTTACTTTCTGATCTTTACATCCATGTACAGTTTTACCAAGTCAAGCTTGATGTTCTGGTAAGCCTCTTTGAAATCAGAAATATTGTCTATAAGTTATGGGATGAAGCTGAGTCTTTAAGACATGGTGTGAGTATGCTATCTACCATTGCAGTAATGTTACCATGGGAGACAAGTTTTAAGCATACAAGTCTAATAAGTCGAAGAGATTAATAGATTACCTTCTAAGCTATTATTTATCGAAATTTCAATATTTTTCTGTTGATGATGCTCCTTATTAGCCTTCTCTTGTAGAAATTCAAACAATTTCTGGTCCATATTCTATAAAGAACTTAGAGACGTTGCTCAGAATTTTAATGAGGACTTTGCTAATACTCTCAGAGCTTCTTCATAAGAAATAATCTGAGAGAATTCTTACTTGAAATGAACTATTTTTGATTTATTCAATTCTTAAATTATATAAAGGGGTTTTGGGGTTTTGGGGTTTTGGGGTTTTGGGG